TTAAACTTGGAGACATAGATTTTCTGTTACATTGCGCAGACCTCATTAGTTTTACACTCAAATCTGGTCATATTAATTTTCTGATTTGCATAATTAGTTTTCAGCTAAGTAATTTCGAATTATATTTAATGTGTCTCCAATACTCTCAGCACATGGGAGTTCTTTCTAAGCTTTCTTTGATTTAATCAGGGTTTTGTGAGCAACAGCATAAAATAAAACCATATGTTTGAAGTCAAGAAAATTTGAAGGTAATTTTTAATGGTAGCCAACTACCTTTACCCTTGTCCTGCCAGTCCCACGTACTTTTACATTGACTTGACCAGATAAGGATTAAAGATGGCTGACTTCTAGTTGTAAATGAGAATCAAGTAGGGAGTTGAGCATGTGTGCATGATACTTCCTAGAATAGCAACTTTTCTTAACTGATTATATTCATCTAAAGTAAATAAATATTGTGGGTGATATACATTCTCATTCACTGACCACATACAGGGACTTGTCCTTTACTGTACAATATGAGCTTCAAATGACAACACAGAAACCATTGAATATTATTCAGTGTAAGTTAAGCAGTTTTTGTTTCAATATGTTTACATGCTTTTGTTAATTGCAGGTGAGCGATTCCATTACACCTATTATGATGAATCGTGTGGTGAAATCTACAAATCCATTGATGTCTTAGATCATAAGGTATGACATGAATGTGCATCATATTAGCACTGTGACCCCGGCCTAAAACATTTGGCATATACTCACAAATTATGTTTATCCACTGGGAAGCTTAAAATTTTCATGTGTTGTATGCTACATATCTGATTATAGTAGCCGAGCTGAAATTAACTTTGACATGTATGGTATGTATGGGAAGTTCTACACCAAGATGTAGATGTTGTAGGATGTTTTAGAATCAATCTGCTCTTCAGCTACTTTTGGAGCTTAGGTTAATTTGTCCAGGTAGACTTGTTTTTGACAAAGATTTTACTAGGTAAATTTGTCTTGTATCAGCTTGGTCTTCTTGGAAGTGCCTTTCACAAGTTTGGTCTTGTTTGACTTAAACGAGATTGGTCTGGCTGGACTTTATTTTAGCAAGCGTGTTTTGGTATACTTGCCTTTGTCTTGGTGTAATTAGTCCCCGTTCAGGCGCAGCCTGAAAAGGGGACTTATAATTCAGGTTTTGTCTTTTTTCCCGTCTCCAACATTTTCTCAGAAATTCTATAGCAGGTATCAGTGAAACTTGGCAGGTTGATGAACAAGTGTCTTCCGAGTATGCACGTAATTTTTTTTCCAGATCTGAAAATCCCAAGTGGGTCTTTTTCACGATTTTTATCAAAAATTACCTCTCCCGGCAA